TGGCCATTAAAAGTTATTCAAATCATGACGCTGCACCCCATGGTTTAGGTTCTAGGGGGCGCCAAAGATAACCCAAAAATCCACATATTTAAAAGTCTTATAACTTTTTATTTTTGTCCTCACTGGCCTCCAAGTTTTCTAGGATTATGCAATGTCCAGCCATCAACACATTTGTGAAGGAATTTTTACTCCCCAAAAGAGCGCCCCCCCATGGCAGGAGAAAAAAGTCCATTTTTTCTTGTCCCATAAGGTGAAAAAACACATTGTTGACTGTCATACCTGTACGCTTTGTCATATTGACACAAAATTTGACAATCACATGTATCTCAATAAGATCTACGAAAAAGTCAATGCGCGCGTATCTGTAAAATGTACGGTTAAAGGGCTATTTTGCATTTTTTGCCGATTCGCACACATTGGAATGTGGCTAACTCCTCCTAAGGATTTCGTCCCACTGACACCAAATTTGCTCAGGCCAATCTACACCCCATGGCCATTCAAAGTTGTAAAAATCATGACGCTGCACCCCACGGTTTACGTTCTAGGGGGCGCCAAAGATGACCCAAATATCCACATTCTTAAAATAATCCACATCCCCCCCATCCCCCATCCCCCATGGCAGGAGAAACAGTCAAGTTTTTCCTGCCCATCACTCAATGGCTCAATCGCATCACTCTCCCGGCAACACCGTAACGAGGAGCAACTTGCCGTTTGGATATATCCTAGCTGTGTTTGTGCCCTCACTCATGGTCCAGACTTTTTTCAAATAGGACATGTTGTTTGTCTGCAGCGAGTGTTTTAGTAGAAACTGCGCCTCCCATTCATTATAATGGGAAATGACCACAGACAAGTGCGCACACCATCTTTGGACCTTGAGTGTGACGCGATCGGGAGGGGGAGGCGGTCGCGCTGGGGGCGGCGCAACGCGGCTCGGGCCCGACAGTGCCCCACCGGGGTCCTAGTCTTTCTTTCTTTCTTTCTTTCTTCTTATTTTTCCTCCCCTTTGAAGGTGAAAATGGCCCACTTCCCACTGGCGAAAACTCATGAAATTTGGCAGGACGACCGGGCCTGGTGAAAAATTCGATATTCTGAAGTCGCCCAAACAATAAAATGCAAAATGGCTCCAAAGCGCCCCCTAAGGTGAAAATTCACACTATTGACTGTCACGCCTTTACGCTTTGTCATATTGACACAAAAATTGACACACACATGTATCTCAATAAGATCTACAAAAAAGTCAGTGCGGGCGTATCTGTCAAATGTACGGTTAAAGGGTTATTTCGCATTTTTTGCCGATCCGCACACATTGGAATTTCGCTAACTCCTCCGAAGGCTTTCGTTCCACCGGCACCACATTTGCTCAGGCCAATCTACACCCCATGGCCAATAAAAGTTGTACAAATCATGACGCTGCACCCCACGGTTTACGTTCTAGGGGGCGCCAAAGATAACCCAAAAATCCACAGTCTTAAAAGTCTTATAACTTTTTATTTTTGTCCTCACTGGCCTCCAAGTTCTCTAGGATGATGCAATGTCCAGCCATCAACACATTTGTGAAGGAATTTTTACTCGCCAAAAGAGCGCCCCTCCATGGCAGGAGAAAAAAGTCCATTTTTTCTTGTCTCCTAAGGCGAAAATTCACACTATTGACTGTCACGCCTTTACGCTTTGTCATATTGACACAAAAATTGACATACACATGTATCTCAATAAGATCTACAAAAAAGTCAGTGCGGGCGTATCTGTCAAATGTACGGTTAAAGGGTTATTCCGCATTTTTTGCCGATCCGCACACATTGGAATTTCGCTAACTCCTCCGAAGGCTTTCGTTCCACCGGCACCACATTTGCTCAGGCCAATCTACACCCCATGGCCATTAAAAGTTATTCAAATCATGACGCTGCACCCCACGGTTTAGGTTCTAGGGGGCGCCAAATATAACCCTAAAATCCACATATTTCAAAGTCTTACAACTTTTTATTTTTGTCCTCACTGGCCTCCAAGTTTTCTAGGATGATGCAATGTCCAGCCATCAACACATTTGTGAAGGAATTTTTACTCCCCAAAAGAGCGCCCCCACATGGCAGGAGAAAAAAGTCCATTTTTTCTTGTCCCCTAAGGTGAAAATACACATTGTTGAGTGTCACGCCTGTACGCTTTGTCATATTGACACAAAATTTGACAATCACGTGTATCACAATAACATCTACGAAAAAGTCAATGCGCGCGTATCTGTAAAATGTACTGTAAAAGGGCTCTTTTGCATTTTTTGCCGATTCGCACACATTGGAATGTGGCTAACTCCTCCTAAGGCTTTCGTCCCACTGACACCAAATTTGCTCAGGCCAATCTACACCCCATGGCCATTCAAAGTTGTAAAAATCATGACGCTGCACCCCACGGTTTACGTTCTAGGGGGCGCCAAAGATGACCCAAATATCCACATTCTTAAAAGAATCCACATCCCCCCCATCCCCCATCCCCCATGGCAGGAGAAACAGTCAAGTTTTTCCTGCCCATCACTCAATGGCTCAATCGCATCGCTCTCCCGGCAACACCGTAACGAGGAGCAACTTGCCGTTTGGATATATCCTAGCTGTGTTTGTGCCCTCACTCATGGTCCAGACTTTTTTCAAATAGGACATGTAGTTTGTCTGCAGCGAGTGTTTTGGTAGAAACTGCGCCTCCCATTCATTATAATGGGAAATGACCACAGACAAGTGCGCACACCATCTTTGGACCTTGAGTGTGACGCGATCGGGAGGGGGAGGTGGTCGCGCTGGGGGCGGCGCGACGCGGCTCGGGCCCGACAGTGCCCCACCGGGGCCCTAGTTCTTTCTTTCTTTCTTTCTTTAGGGCCCGAGCGTAGCTGCTAAGCAGCTGCGAGAGCCCTCTTGTTCCTGATGGATTCTTCTTTCGTTATTTTTCCTCCGCTTTAAACTGGAAAATGGCCCACTTCCCACTGGCGAAAACTCAGGAAATTTGGCAGGACGACCGGGCCTGGTGAAAAATTTGATATTCTGAAGTCGTCCAAACAAAAAAATGAAAAATGGCTCCATAGCGCCCCCTATGGTGAAAACTCACCTGATGCCTGTACGCTTTGTCAAAATGACACAAAATTTGACACACATGTGTATTTCAATAAGATCTACGAAAAAGTCAGTGCGGGCGTATCTGCCAAATGTACGGTTAAAGGGCTATTTCGCTTTTTTTGCCGATCCGCACACATTGGAATTTCGCTAACTCCTCCGAAGGCTTTCGTTCCACCGGCACCAAATTTGCTCAGGCCAATCTACACCCCATGGCCATTAAAAGTTGTACAAATCATGATGCTGCACCCCACGGTTTACTTTCTAGGGGGCGCCAAAGATAACACAAAAATCCACATTCTTAAAAGTCTTATAACTTTTTATTTTTGTCCTCACTGGCCTCCAAGTTTTCTAGGATGATGCAATGTCCAGCCATCAACACATTTGTGAAGGAATTTTTACTCCCCAAAAGAGCGCCCCCCCATGGCAGGAGAAAAAAGTCCATTTTTTCTTGTCTCCTAAGGTAAAAATACACATTGTTGAGTGTCACGCCTATACACTTTGTCATATTGACACACAATTTGACAATCACGTGTATCTCAATAAGATCTACAAAAAAGTCAATAGGCACGTATCTGTCAAATGTATGGTTAAAGGGCTATTTCGCATTTTTTGCCGATTCGCACACATTGGAATGTGGCTATCTCCTCCTAAGGCTTTCGTCCCACCGATACCAAATTTGCTCAGGGCAATCTACACCCCATGGCCATTCAAAGTTGTAGAAATCATGACGCTGCACCCCACGGTTTACGTTCTAGGGGGCGCCAAAGATGACCCAAAAATCCACATTCTTAAAAGTCATTTTGGCCACTGCAGGAGTACAGAGTACTGCAGTTCTAGGGGGCGCCAAAGATGACCCAAAAATCCACATTCTTAAAAGTCTTTTTGGCCACTGCAGGAGTACAGAGTACTGCCGGACACACACACATATACACACACGCCAACACCACACACACACACACACACACACACACACACACACACACACACACACACACACACTCAGAGTCTGTTTTTTAGCACCTGCAAAAACATGCTGTTTACATATTTGACAAGAATGCAGAGGCTTCCTTTTGCCCCTGAAAAAAATCAAATTTCAAACACAACTTGACTGTTCATTTCTCCAAAAGACAACCATGAAGCTCCATCCAAACCTGAAGCAGATAGTTGGTGCATGTGTACAGTAACCTGAGGAGAGTGAGGTGACTACTTCTGAGGAGAACATGAGCAGTGAAGATTCACCTTGGAGCTAGAACAGGGACGTGCACATGATTATACAGGGGCAGGGGCTCAAGTTTTTTCCAGTCATTTATACAATATGGAAATTAATGTGAAATTAAACCACAAATATGTGTGATGAACTGTTTTTAAAACTTAAACTTCAAATAAAAATTGTAAACTTTAAAACATATGCAAATTTTTAACAAAGAACATAGTAATTTACCTCTATTTACATCAAAATGCAGGCAATGGCCCAGGCGTTCTTTGTAAAATTATTTACAAAACACTGTATAGTCTCACAAATGTCACTTTTTATTTATGCCACTACAAAAAAACATGATGTAAATGATGCATGATGTAAAACATGATGTAAAAAACTTGTGTAGATCCTCCTCTATGTCAGTCCATGTGTAATTTTTCCATAATTCTTTGTTTTTTGCAGCATTTTTGTTAGTGTAACTGCAGATTGTGCTGACAGTGTCTATGGCAAAAAAAAAAAAAACTGAAAATGCCTCAACATGAACTCCTGGTGGTCTCTGAGGGTGAAACCTGCTAACTGTGCAGCTCTCTCAGCTCTAGTCTCCCATGCAGAGCTCGGAGCGCATGTGTGGCTCTGCACCCTTAGCAGCGTTGCTAACTCCTCAGTAAGGAAAGCCTGCTTCATGTCAGAGTCTCTAAACTCCAGAGGAAGTCGATAAAATTCCCTTTCTTTCTAAAAAAAAGTCGTTAGGGGGTCTGAAAAGTCATTGAATCTAACAACAAAGTCGCTAGGTTTGCAACTACGTTTCCCAGACTGCATCCCTGCTGAGAGTTCCTCCCTCCCTTCTCATATTGCAGGAAGAACGTAAGCGCCCGCCCCTTGTCAATCAGTCACCATATAATTTTGGATTGGTTGTTGTGGTGAAGTTTTCCACCAATAGGAGAGATGTTGTGGTGTGTTTTTTTTTTCTTTTGGCATGCCTTTTCCGCCTGTAAGAGCTGTCGCTAATGTCTGCATGCTATGTTTTCCTGTCTCATACAGCGTGATCGAGCGCCGAACGTGATCAAAATAAGCAGAAAAAAAGTATCGCGGACATAATTTATCATAACTCTAGTTTTATTTGGCCTATCAACACAATTTAAAAACTGGTATATAGTTTGAGGTCCTCACTTTTGAGATAAGTTGAAACGGAGGGTGAACGAGGCTCCGTCTTGCAGCTACATCCGGTTAAATATGTCATGTGACTTGAACGCTGGGGAGCGTCAATCGACTGCAGAGCCAGCAGACAAAGTAGTTATGCCACTAAGAGGCACACATTTGTCATATGCTATAATCCTAACATATTTTAATGCTTTTTCTATTTAAACCTAATGGATCTAAGGTTTGACCTTCAAAATTTAGGAAGAATATTTTTTTGCAGTAATGACCCCCTTAAACAACCAGAGGTCCTTTCCTAAAGTTTATGGAAATTTTAGTGAAGGCCTTGGTTTCTTTCCTTGCAAAATGTATAGAAATAATAAAGCTAAATACCATAAAATGGTCTTGGCGTATTAGCAGTGATATAAAATAGTGGTTTGAATATGAATGAACAACAAAAAAAAACATCAACAGAGCCTTTTTGAGTTGGGATTCTTTCATTATCACACAAAAACAGACATAGACAGACATCTAAAGGGTAAGGGAATGATCAGCCCTCCTAACTCTCAGATGAATCTTCAAAATTCACCGCAGAAATATGCTTATTATTCTTCTCAGAGTACTGCAAGATATATACAAACACACACAGACACACACACACACACACACACACACACACACACACACACTCAGAGTCTGTTTTTTAGCACCTGCAAAAACATGCTATTTACATATTTGACAAGAATGCAGAGGCTCCTTTTGCCCCTGAAAAAAATCAAATTTCAAACACAACTTGACTGGTCATTTCTCCAAAAGACAACCATGAAGCTCCATCCAAACCTGAAGCAGGCAGTTGGTGCATGTGTACAGTAACCTGAGGGGAGTGAGGTGACTGCTTCTGAGGAGAACATGAGCAGTGAAGATTCACCTTGGAGCTAGAACAGGGACGTGCACATGATTATACAGGGGCAGGGGCTCAAGTTTTTTCCAGTCATTTATACAATATGGAAATTAATGTGAAATTAAAAAACAAAGTATTAATAGAAAGGTAATGACTGTCCTGTGTAGATGACAGTGATATCCAATAGGCTAGGCACTCACGAGGCTGGCTGTGGCAAGTGTAAGTGAAAGCAACACGCACTGGCAGGAAGAACAGCAAACGCCGATGAAGGAAAAGGGTCTTTGCAGTGATGGGCGTTACCAGAGAGGGCGATGGCCAGAGGACACGAATGGGACGGGGAGGCAGCGCGTTGGGGGGGGGGGGCGGCGCGACACGGCTCGGGCCCGCCAGTGCCCTAACGGGGCCCTAGTTAGGGCCCGAGCGTAGCTGCTAAGCAGCTGCGAGAGCCCTATTATTCCTGATGGATTCTTCTTTCTTTAGGGCCCGAGCGTAGCTGCTAAGCAGCTGCGAGAGCCCTCTTGTTCCTGATGGATTCTTCTTTTGTTATTATTAGGGCCCGAGCGTAGCTGCTAAGCAGCTGCGAGAGCCCTGTTGTTCCTGATGAGTTTTTCTTTCTTCTTTCTTTCTTTCTTTCTTTCTTTCTTTCTTTAGGGCCCGAGCGTAGCTGCTAAGCAGCTGCGAGAGCCCTATTATTCCTGATGGATTCTTCTTTCTTCTTCTTCTTATTATTATTTTTCTGCCCCTTTGAACTGGAAAATGGCCCACTTCCCACTGGTGAAAAGTCATGAAATTTGGCAGGACGACCGGGCCTGGTGAAAAATTCGATATTCTGAAGTCGCCCAAAAAATCAAATGCAAAATGGCTCCATAGCGCCCCCTAAGGTGAAAAATTCACATGATTGAGTGTCACGCCTGTACACTTTGTCAAAATGACACAAAATTTGACACACACGTGTATCTCAATAAGATCTACAAAAAAGTCAGTGCGGGCGTATCTGTCAAATGTACGATTAAAGGGCTATTTCGCATTTTTTGCCGATCCGCACACATTGGAATTTCGCTAACTCCTCCGAAGGCTTTCGTTCCACCGGCACCAAATTTGCTCAGGCCAATCTACACCCCATGGCCATTAAAAGTTGTACAAATCATGACGCTGCATCCCACGGTTTACGTTCTAGGGGGCGCCAAAGATAACCCAGAAATCCACATTCTTAAAAGTCGTATAACTTTTTATTTTTGTCCTCACTGGCCTCCAAGTTTTCTAGGATGATGCAATGTCCAGCCATCAACACATTTGTGAAGGAATTTTTACTCCCCAAAAGAGCGCCCCCCCATGGCAGGAGAAAAAAGTCCATTTTTTCTTGTCTCCTAAGGCGAAAATTCACACTATTGACTGTCACGCCTTTACGCTTTGTCATATTGACACAAAAATTGACACACACATGTATCTCAATAAGATCTACAAAAAAGTCAGTGCGGGCGTATCTGTCAAATGTACGGTGAAAGGGCTATTTCGCATTTTTTGCCGATCCGCACACATTGGAATTTCGCTAACTCCTCCGAAGGCTTTCGTTCCAAAGGCACCACATTTGCTGAGGCCAATCTACACCCCATGGCCATTAAAAGTTGTACAAATCATGATGCTGCACCCCACGGTTTACGTTCTAGCGGGCGCCAAAGATAACCCAAAAATCCACAGTCTTAAAAGTCTTATAACTTTTTATTTTTGTCCTCACTGGCCTCCAAGTTCTCTAGGATGATGCAATGTCCAGCCATCAACACATTTGTGAAGGAATTTTTACTCGCCAAAAGAGCGCCCCCCCCCATGGCAGGAGAAAAAAGTCCATTTTTTCTTGTCTCCTAAGGCGAAAATACACATTGTTGACTGTCACGCCTTTACGCTTTGTCAAAATGACACAAAATTTGACACACACATGTATCTCAATAAGATCTACAAAAAAGTCAGTGCGGGCGTATCTGTCAAATGTACGGTTAAAGGGTTATTTCGCATTTTTTGCCGATCCGCACACATTGGAATTTCGCTAACTCCTCCTAAATCTTTTGTCCCATCGGCTTCAAATTTGCTCAGGTCAATATACACCCCATGGCCTTTCAAAGTTGTACAAATCATGACGCTGCACCCCACGGTTTACGTTCTAGGGGGCGCCAAAGAGGACCCAAATATCCACATTTTTAAAAGTCTTATAACTTTTTATTTTTGTCCTCACTGGCCTCCAAGTTTTCTAGGATGATGCAATGTCCAGCCATCAACACATTTGTGAAGGAATTTTTTCTCCCCAAAAGAGCGCCCCCCCATGGCAGGAGAAAAAGTCAAGTTTTTCCTGCCCATCGCTCAATGGCTCAAACGCATCGCTCTCTCTGCAAAACCGAAAGGAGGAGCAACTTGCCATTTGGATATATACTAGCTGTGTTTGTGCCCTCACTCATGGTCCAGACTTTTTTCAAATAGGACATGTAGTTTGTCTGCAGCAAGCGTTTTGGTAGAAACTGCGCCTCCCATTCATTATAATGGGAAATGACCACAGACAAGTGCGCACACCATCTTTGGACCTTGAGTGTGACGCGATCGGGAGGGGGAGGCGGTCGCGCTGGGGGCGGCGCGACGCGGCTCGGGCCCGACAGTGCCCCACCAGGGCCCTAGTTCTTCTTATTTTTCCTCCCCTTTGAAGGGGAAAATGGCCCACTTCCCACTGGCGAAAACTCATGAAATTTGGCAGGACGACCGGGCCTGGTGAAAAATTCGATATTCTGAAGTCGCCCAAACAATAAAATGCAAAATGGCTCCATAGCGCCCCCTAAGGTGAAAATTCACACTATTGACTGTCACGCCTGTACGCTTTGTCATATTGACACAAAAATTGACACACACATGTATCTCAATAAGATCTACAAAAAAGTCAGTGCGGGCGTATCTGTCAAATGTACGGTTAAAGGATTATTGCGCATTTTTTGCCGATCCGCACACATTGGAATTTCGCTAACTCCTCCGAAGGCTTTCGTTCCACCGGCACCACATTTGCTCAGGCCAATCTACACCCCATGGCCATTAAAAGTTGTACAAATCATGACGCTGCGCCCCACGGTTTACGTTCTAGGGGGCGCCAAAGATAACCCAAAAATCCACATTCTTAAAAGTCTAATAACTTTTTATTTTTGTCCTCACTGGCCTCCAAGTTTTCTAGGATGATGCAATGTCCAGCCATCAACACATTTGTGAAGGAATTTTTACTCCCCAAAAGAGCGCCCCCCCATGGCAGGAGAAAAAAGTCCATTTTTTCTTGTCCCCTAAGGTGAAAATACATATTGTTGAGTGTCACGCCTATACGCTTTGTCATATTGACACAAAATTTGACACACACGTGTATCTCAATAAGATCTACAAAAAAGTCTATGCGCACGTATCTGTCAAATGTACGGTTAAAGGGTTATTTCGCATTTTTTGCCGATCGCACACATTGGAATTTCGCTAACTCCTCCTAAAGCTTTCGTTCCACCGGCACCAAATTTGCTCAGGCCAATCGACACCCCATGGCCATTAAAAGTTGTACAAATCATGACGCTGCACCCCACGGTTTACGTTCTAGGGGGCGCCAAAGATAACCCAAAAATCCACAGTCTTAAAAGTCTTATAACTTTTTATTTTTGTCCTCACTGGCCTCCAAGTTTTGTAGGATGATGCAATGTCCAGCCATCAACACATTTGTGAAGGAATTTTTACTCCCCAAAAGAGCGCCCCCCCATGGCAGGAGAAAAAAGTCCATTTTTCTTGTCCCCTAAGGTGAAAATACACATTGTTGAGTGTAACACCTGTACGCTTTGGCAAAATGACACAAAAATTGACACACACATGTATCTCAATAAGATCTACGAAAAAGTCAATGCGCGCGTATCTGTCAAATGTACGGTTAAAGGGTTATTCCGCATTTTTTGCCGATCCGCACACATTGGAATTTCGCTAACTCCTCCGAAGGCTTTCGTTCCACCGGCACCACATTTGCTCAGGCCAATCTACACCCCATGGCCATTAAAAGTTATTCAAATCATGACGCTGCACCCCACGGTTTAGGTTCTAGGGGGAGCCAAAGATAACCGTAAAATCCACATATTTAAAAGTCTTATAACTTTTTATTTTTGTCCCCACTGGCCTCCAAGTTTTCTAGGATGATGCAATGTCCAGCCATCAACACATTTGTGAAGGAATTTTTACTCGGCAAAAGAGCGCCCCCCATGGCAGGAGAAAAAAGTCAATTTTTTCTTGTCCACTAAGGTGAAAATACACATTGTTGAGTGCTACGCCTGTATGTTTTGTCGTATTGACACAAAATTTTACATACACGTGTATTTACATAAGATCTTCGAAAAAGTCAATGGCCACGTATCTGTAAAATGTACGGTTAAAGGGTTATTTCGCATTTTTTGCAGATTCGCACACATTGGAATTTCGCTAATTCCTCCGAAGGCTTTCGTTCCACCGGCACCACATTTGCTCAGGCCAATCTACACCCCATGGCCATTAAAAGTTATTCAAATCATGACGCTGCACCCCACGGTTTAGGTTCTAGGGGGCGCCAAATATAACCCTAAAATCCACATATTTAAAAGTCTTATAACTTTTTATTTTTGTCCTCACTGGCCTCCATGTTTTCTAGGATGATGCAATGTCCAGCCATCAACACATTTGTGAAGGAGTTTTTCTCTTTAAAAGAGCGCCCCCCCATGGCAGGAGAATAAAGTCAAGTTTTTCTTGTTCATCATTCAATGGCTCAAACGCACTGCTCTCTCGGCAAAAGCGAAAGGAGGAGCAACTTGCCATTTGGATATATCTTAGCTGTGTTTGTGCCCTCACTCATGGTCCAGACTTTTTTCAAATAGGACATGGAGTTTTTCTGCAGCGAGCGTTTTGGTAGAAACTGCGCCTCCCGTTCATTATAATGGTAAATGACCACAAACAAGTGCGCACACCATCTTTGGACCTTGAGTGTGACGCGATCGGGTGGGGGAGGCGGTCGCGCTGGGGGCGGCGTGACACGGCTCGGGCCCGCCAGTGCCCCAACGGGGCCCTAGTTATTATTTTTCCTCCGCTTTAAACTGGAAAATGGCCCACTTCCCACTGGCGAAAACTCATGAAATTTGGCAGGACGACCGGGCCTGGTGAAAAATTCGATATTCTGAAGTCACCCAAACAATAAAATGCAAAATGGCTCCATAGCGCCCCCTAAGGTGAAAATTCACACTATTGACTGTCACGCCTTTACGCTTTGTCATATTGACACAAAAATTGACACACACATGTATCTCAATAAGATCTACAAAAAAGTCAGTGTGGGCGTATCTGTCAAATGTACGGTTAAAGGGTTATTTCGCATTTTTTGCCGATCCGCACACATTGGAATTTCGCTAACTCCTCCGAAGGCTTTCGTTCCACCGGCACCACATTTGCTCAGGCCAATCTACACTCCATGGCCATTCAAAGTTGTACAAATCATGACGCTGCACCCCATGGTTTAGGTTCTAGGGGGCGCCAAAAATAACCCAAAAATCCACATTCTTAAAAGTTTTATAACTTTTTATTTTTGTCCTCACTGGCCTCCAAGTTTTCTAGGATGATGCAATGTCCAGCCATCAACACATTTGTGAAGGAATTTTTACTCCCCAAAAGAGCGCCCCCCCATGGCAGGACAAAAAAGTCAATTTTTTCTTGTCCCCTAAGGTGAAAATACACATTGTTGAGATTCACGCCTGTACGCTTTGTCATATTGACAAAAAAATTGACACACACGTGTATCTCAATAAGATCTACAAAAAAGTCAATGCGCGCGTATCTGTAAAATGTACGGCTAAACGGCTATTTTGCATTTTTTGCCGATTCGCACACATTGGAATGTGGCTAACTCCTCCTAAGGCTTTCGTCCCACTGACACCAAATTTGCTCAGGCCAATCTACACCCCATGGCCATTCAAAGTTGTAAAAATCATGCCGCTGCACCCCATGGTTTACGTTCTAGGGGGCGCCAAAGATGACCCAAATATCCACATTCTTAAAAGTCGTTTTGGCCACTGCAGGAGTACAGAGTACTGCAGGATACACACACACAGACACACACACACACAGACACACACACACACGCACACACACACACACACACACACACACACACACACATATACACTCAGAGTCTGTTTTTCAGCACCTGCAAAAACATGCTATTTACATATTTGACAACAATGCAGAGACTTCCTTTTGCCCCTGAAAAAAATCAAATTTCAAACACAACTTGACTGCTCATTTCTCCAAAAGACAACCATGAAGCTCCATCCAAACCTGAAGCAGGCAGTTGGTGCATGTGTACAGTAACCTGAGGGGAGTGAGGTGACTGCTTCTGAGGAGAACATGAGCAGTGAAGATTCACCTTGGAGCTAGAACAGGGACGTGCACATGATTATACAGGGGCAGGGGCTCAAGTTTTTTCCAGTCATTTATACAATATGGAAATTAATGTGAAATTAAAAAACAAAGTATTAATAGAAAGGTAATGACTGTCCTGTGTAGGTGACAGTGATATCCAATAGGCTAGGCACTCACGAGGCTGGCTGTGGCAAGTGCAAGTGAAAGCCACACGCACTGGCAGGAAGAACAGCAAACGCCGATGAAGGAAAAGGGTCTTTGCAGTGATGGGCGTTACCAGAGAGGACGATGGCCAGAGGACACAAATGGGACGGGGAGGCAGCGCGTTGGGGGGGGGGGGGCGCGCGACACAGCTCGGGCCCGCCAGTGCCCCAACGGGGCCCTAGTCTTCTTCTTCTTATTATTATTTTTCTGCCCCTTTGAACTGGAAAATGGCCCACTTCCCACTGGTGAAAAGTCATGAAATTTGGCAGGACGACCGGGCCTGGTGAAAAATTCGATATTCTGAAGTCGCCCAAAAAATCAAATGCAAAATGGCTCCATAGCGCCCCCTAAGGTGAAAAATTCACATGATTGAGTGTCACGCCTGTACGCTTTGTCAAAATGACACAAAATTTGACACACACGTGTATCTCAATAAGATCTACAAAAAAGTCAGTGCGGGCGTATCTGTCAAATGTACGGTTAAAGGGCTATTTCGCATTTTTTGCCGATCCGCACACATTGGAATTTCGCTAACTCCTCCGAAGGCTTTCGTTCCACCGGCACCAAATTTGCTCAGGCCAATCTACACCCCATGGCCATTAAAAGTTGTACAAATCATGACGCTGCATCCCACGGTTTACGTTCTAGGGGGCGCCAAAGATAACCCAGAAATCCACATTCTTAAAAGTCGTATAACTTTTTATTTTTGTCCTCACTGGCCTCCAAGTTTTCTAGGATGATGCAATGTCCAGCCATCAACACATTTGTGAAGGAATTTTTACTCCCCAAAAGAGCGCCCCCCCATGGCAGGAGAAAAAAGTCCATTTTTTCTTGTCTCCTAAGGCGAAAATACACACTATTGACTGTCACGCCTTTACGCTTTGTCATATTGACACAAAAATTGACACACACATGTATCTCAATAAGATCTACAAAAAAGTCAGTGCGGGCGTATCTGTCAAATGTACGGTTAAAGGGTTATTTCGCATTTTTTGCCGATCCGCACACATTGGAATTTCGCTAACTCCTCCGAAGGCTTTCGTTCCAAAGGCACCACATTTGCTCAGGCCAATCTACACCCCATGGCCATTAAAAGTTGTACAAATCATGACGCTGCACCCCACGGTTTACGTTCTAGGGGGCGCCAAAGATAACCCAAAAATCCACAGTCTTAAAAGTCTTATAACTTTTTATTTTTGTCCTCACTGGCCTCCAAGTTCTCTAGGATGATGCAATGTCCAGCCATCAACACATTTGTGAAGGAATTTTTACTCGCCAAAAGAGCGCCCCCCATGGCAGGAGAAAAAAGTCCATTTTTTCTTGTCTCCTAAGGCGAAAATACACATTGTTGACTGTCACGCCTTTACGCTTTGTCAAAATGACACAAAATTTGACACACACATGTATCTCAATAAGATCTACAAAAAAGTCAGTGCGGGCGTATCTGTCAAATGTACGGTTAAAGGGTTATTTCGCATTTTTTGCCGATCCGCACACATTGGAATTTCGCTAACTCCTCCTAAATCTTTTGTCCCATCGGCTTCAAATTTGCTCAGGTCAATCTACACCCCATGGCCATTCAAAGTTGTACAACTCATGACGCTGCACCCCACAGTTTACGTTCTAGGGGGCGCCAAAGAGGACCCAAATATCCACATTTTTAAAAGTCTTATAACTTTTTATTTTTGTCCTCACTGGCCTCCAAGTTTTCTAGGATGATGCAATGTCCAGCCATCAACACATTTGTGAAGGAATTTTTCTCCCCAAAAGAGCGCCCCCCATGGCAGGAGAAAAAGTCAAGTTTTTCCTGCCCATCGCTCAATGGCTCAAACGCATCGCTCTCTCTGCAAAACCGAAATGAGGAGCAACTTGCCATTTGGATATATACTAGCTGTGTTTGTGCCCTCACTCATGGTCCAGACTTTTTTCAAATAGGACATGTAGTTTGTCTGCAGCGAGCGTTTTGGTAGAAACTGCGCCTCCCATTCATTATAATGGGAAATGACCACAGACAAGTGCGCACACCATCTTTGGACCTTGAGTGTGACGCGATCGGGAGGGGGAGGCGGTCGCGCTGGGGGCGGCGCGACGCGGCTCGGGCCCGACAGTGCCCCACCGGGGCCCTAGTTCTTTCTTTCTTTCTTTCTTTCTTCTTATTTTTCCTCCCCTTTGAAGGGGAAAATGGCCCACTTCCCACTGGCGAAAACTCATGAAATTTGGCAGGACGACTGGGCCTTGTGAAAAATTCGATATTCTGAAGTCGCCCAAACAATACAATGCAAAATGGCTCCATAGCGCCCCCTAAGGTGAAAATTTACACTATTGACTGTCACGCCTGTACGCTTTGTCATATTGACACAAAAATTGACACACACATGTATCTCAATAAGATCTACAAAAAAGTCAGTGCGGGCGTATCTGTCAAATGTACGGTTAAAGGGTTATTTTGCATTTTTTGCAGATCCGCACACATTGGAATTTCGCTAACTCCTCCGAAGGCTTTCGTTCCACCGGCACCACATTTGCCCAGGCCAATCTACACCCCATGGCCATTAAAAGTTGTACAAATCATGACACTGCACCCCACGGTTTACGTTCTAGGGGGCGCCAAAGATAACCCAAAAATCCACAGTCTTAAAAGTCTTATAACTTTTTATTTTTGTCCTCACTGGCCTCCAAGTTCTCTAGGATGATGCAATGTCCAGCCATCAACACATTTGTGAAGGAATTTTTTCTCCCCAAAAGAGCGCCCCCACATGGCAGGAGAAAAAAGTCCATTTTTTCGTGTCCCCTAAGGTGAAAATACACATTGTTGAGTGTCACGCCTATACGCTTTGTCATATTGACCCAAAATTTGACAATCACGTGTATCTCAATAAGATCTACGAAAAAGTCAATGGGCACGTATCTTTAAATTGTACGGTTAAAGGGTTATTTCGCATTTTTTCCCGATCCGCACACATTGGAATTTCGCTAACTCCTCCGAAGGCTTTAGTTCCACCGCCACCAAATTTGCTCAGGCCAATCTACACCCCATGGCCATCAAAAGTTGTACAAATCATGACGCTGCACTCCACGGTTTAGGTTCTAGGGGGCGCCAAAGATAACCCAAAAATCCACATTCTTAATAGTCTTATAACTTTTTATTTTTGTCCTCACTGGCCTCCAAGTTTTCTAGGATGATGCAATGTCCAGCCATCAACACATTTGTGAAGGAATTTTTTCTCCCCAAAAGAGCGCCCCCCCCATGGCAGGAGAAAAAGTCAAGTTTTTCCTGCCCATCGCTCAATGGCTCAAACGCATCGCTCTCTCGGCAAAACCGAAAGGAGGAGCAACTTGCCATTTGGATATATACTAGCTGTGTTTGTGCCCTCACTCATGGTCCAGACTTTTTTCAAAAAGGACATGGAGTTTGTCTGCAGCAAGCGTTTTGGTAGAAACTGCGCCTCCCATTCATTATAATGGGAAATGACCACAGACAAGTGCTCACACTGGGGGCGGCGCGACGCGGCTCGGGCCCGACAGTGCCCCACCGGGGTCCTAGTTTCTTTTTGCTGCTGTAACAAGAGAATTTCCCAGTTTGGGATCAATAAAGTCTATCTATCTATCTATCTATCTATCTATCTATCTAAGTACAGATTGACAAGGTTATATTCCAATGAAGTTTTATTACATATGTGTTTCTTATGCGTGATGTTGTTTATCTTAGAAAGATAACTTGGTTTTATCCCTCTCTAACTTTCAAAGAGCTTCTCAATCCTCAGGTTATAGACTACCAGGACAAAGGGTGATATAAGTTTACCTTGCATTTACAGTTTTTCTCAGTTGCTTTGGTACATTTCTCAGATCAGAATTGAAATTCTCAAAACTACGTGTTCAATCTTCACATCATTGTGCCACTTGTGCACATCAAAAAAGCAGTTTCTCATTTCTTTGAACAACTTGCAAATGCTTTGGTACAGCCATGCAAATGATTATGTACAATGTTCTGCAGTTTTCTACATTATCAATTGCTTATGTCATGTTGTTTAAAATGTATTATAATGGGTCTCTGTTGAATAGTCTCACCCCCCACAACATTTAGGCATTAGTTCATTGCATAAGTCTTTACACGCAAGATGGTTGAACAAGCTGTCATAATATGTCAAGCATATTTCTATACATTTCCATTAGACGTTTCTGAATCTGTCCTGAATTGGTAAATTGCTCCCAGGTGAATCTTGACTTTCTCTAACGGTGGGAAATGTGTGAAGCATTAGATCAACCAATGATCAACCACTTTTCTGAAATAGCTCAAAGGTGCATCTCATGAACCATCAACTGGCAAGTATATATATTGCCAGGGCACAACACAATGTTACAATGTCTGACAATGGAAGGACAAGGAATTGGACGGGGTCAACAGCCGGAGAGAAGAAGAGGAAGAGGAGTGAGGCTGTGTGGCGGAGGAGTTGGGAGGCAAAACAGAGGAAGAGGCAGAAGAGGCAGAGGACATATGCACGTTCCTGATGAGATAAGAGCTACACTTGTAGACCACATTCTCAATCATGGGCTTACAATGGCTGAGGCTGGCCGAAGGGTGCAGCCAAATGTTGGGAGAACAACTGTGTCCTCAATCATTCAGACTTTTCGTTGACAGAACAGGTATGTAATCTAAAAATAGGCACTGTACTGTAATACTGTATACTTTCTGTAATGCTTCATACAATATTGCAGTATTCGACTTTCATTTTACAATATACAGTAAGTATAGTATATACAGTGACATTTTGGATGAGTGACATTTTGTGGATAAGAATTTGTTGCCCAACAGACAGGAACATCAGGAGGTGTAGGAAGACTGTACTGTAATTCCTACAGCACTGCATTTCCAGTTTTCCCTAAGGAAATTGTCCTATGTTCACATTTCTTCTTTTGTTTTTTTGTTTTTTTTATTGTGCTCTGCAGTGCTGTCTTTTTCTTTTCTGTATCGCAATGACATGGTCTGTCATCAAGTTACAGTCTCTTGCAATCAATCTCCCACATACACTGAGGTGTAACTTACAATTTACAATGATTGTCATCAAAACTTTAGCCATAGTTTACATCAGAACATCCCTCCAGAGTACACTGTTATATTGACAACATGACTAAGCAATTTGACTGTCTTATCCGTACACAATGACTCAAGGACTTGTCATTCTGATGGCACTGACATGTTCATTGACACAGATATTTACTTTTGAGATATGTACTAAGGATTTTGAGCAAGAGACCGGCTTTTGCAGGTAATCCATGGTGTTTTGCTATTTGTACAAATTGTTTTGAGAAAAGGACTTACTGTTTTGCAAATGTTGAGGATGATTCGAGAAATGTACCAAAGCAACTGAGAAAAACGGTAATGTTATGGTTTGATGCATTTGCTCATAAGAAACGATTAAGGGAAACTATATCACATATGATTTGATAAACAGCATTAATCATAGTGAGTGAGTAAATTAGATCAAACTCGCTTATTAATCCCGCAAGTTAAAATCAATTCACTTGCCAGCCTGATTAGCCCCCGCTGTGAACAATGGGTGCACGTGCTCACCCCCCTCCTTTGGTTTACGCCCCACATCAAATGGGTTAAAAGCACTGAGCTGACGCTACTTGCGCTCTTATCATCCTCTTATCATCTTTGCTCTTATTGTCTTTTTGTGTTGTATTTTTTTGTCCATCCATCGTCTTGTAACCTTTCCCCACGTTTTTATTCACCTTAAGTTTTCAGACTTGTCCAGAAACTTGGATGAAACCATAACCAAGTTCCTTTAAAGCATCAGCAATTAGCTGCGCACATAGAGTACCAAAGTCTAAGTCTTCAATTTTGTTTATTTCACTAAAGTGACTCCTGAAAATAATATCGGCTGGCCAGTGAAATTATTTTCTTAAGTTATTGACGTGACTTAATCTGCAGTAAAGATAATCCTGAACGCCCGGAGAACCAACCTGCATCATCTGCCGAGCTGCGTTTGCCACAAGGTTCAGGAAGGAGAGCACTGTGGGACCCACGGGGCACATTTGACGTGCTTTGTGTGTGGCGACAGATACACCGTTCGACTGGCTGCTAGCCGCCCTGCAAAGACCATCTGTAGCCTGGGCCTTCAGTGATCCGCTCCAAGATTGCCGCTGAGAACCATCATCAAAAAAGTAGGCAAAGCCCTCGACACTCCTTGAAGAACCGGTGATGCTGTCAAGCGTTCAGAGCTTATGATTTTAATTAGTTTAGTTTCTCCGAATTCCTCTCCAAAATGTATCCTCTTAACCCCCTTAACGTAGGTTAAATTTTTCCCTATTCACTCACTGTCATTGACCTCCAGTCTTAGTTTCCATTCAAACTATTCCTTCATTTATTCATTAGATGTTCTTTTATTTTCTCATTATTTGATCGCCATTTATTGCACTTATGTTATCATCTAGCATTTGTCAATAAATGATCCATTTAATTTTAAGTTGTCGTCTCTTAGTGGTCCTTCCAGAAGTGAAGTCCCTGAAACGAGAATGCCGGCCTCAGATGCGAGATTGATTTAAATCTGTTTAAGACTGATTCAACGTTTGATTAATCAATTGAACTTTGTTTTGTCTTTTTCCCACCAGGAAAAGATGGGTGGTGCCCCTTCAACGAGTACATAAATGTCATAATTTAATTCTATTATTTTAAGACATTTATTTTGAATTCTATCAATCAATCAATCAATCAATTCCTTTATTTGTATCCGTGGAGAAATTTGTCTTGGGCTTACAAGGTACAGCGTTATTGTACATACAATCCATACACCAATCCATTACATACCCATGAGACGGACATACATCTCAATTCATACACCATAGTTAGCAAACAAGACACACAGTGAATAATTGCTACACTCCCTATGAAATAAGCAGGAAAAAAGATTATCAAAAACAGCTACCCACCCCTAGGGCTGTCTGGACTGCTGGACAAAATGTTGTAAGCGTCTCATAAATGATGCAAACAACAGAACGTGGTGTATTTGAAGGCAGGGTTCAGAGAAGAGAGAGAGCAGCTTCAGCATGGCACTTTAAAGCAGCTTCACCAATCAACATTCAGCAACCAGCACCTGGAAAAAGACACAACACTAAGGGTGGCAGCACCACCATCATGCAGGGAGGAACAACATCACAACAGGACAGCAGAAACAGAAATGCCTTATGGCCCAGGGTCATAACAGTGCATAAATTTTCTGTTATATTTTGAATATGGGTAAAAACTAATGGTCACAAATAAATTTAAGTGAAGTTTTAATTTTGTCAAATACAATGTATTATATTATGATTTATTCAAAATTATTTAACATTTTCTATGGTTATCTACTCAGTTAGGTTTGACTCTTTACTTTGCCATCTGCATATGCTGTTTGGAATCATTTTTTAAAAGTTCTAAAGCTCAAATGCTTGTTGGGGGGGAAAAAACAGTCTCTAGCACTCAGCCATCACAGTGTAAAATGTCATGATTTTAATGCCCACCAATCAAACTGTAAGATATTACTAACAAGTTCAGGCCAATCTGAGCAGCAGAGCACATCTGGTCCTTATACCACAGCTGGGATGGAATAAAAACTAGATACAGAGGAGATAATGGAGCAAACATCAGGTCTGCTGCCTATCTGCCTAAGCAGAGCTGAAATGGACCAAAAAAGGACCTGGTAAAACTAGGGAGTAAATGTTTGGGAACCACTGCACCACACCACAGGAAATTGGTAACAGTGTACAATACACTCTAAAGTCATATTTCGAAAATTTTAACCGTAAAGTGCAACCACATTTGACACATAAGACCCATCAGTTCTTATCTTTTCAGTACATGACACTCAAGGCTGTGGCCTAAATCCATCAGAGGTGTTACACTTTGCTTAAGTTTCACTGTATCAGCCGAAGGAGAAGCTGCAGCAGCAGCAGCAGCTCAGCTCTCATCTGTGCAAGTGGTCAGCAGCCACAACCTCCTCTTCCCCAAGAGAGCAACAGACAGACATAGAGATGGATGGATGACCCATTAAGTGGCTTTTTGAGGATAAACATCTCTTATAAAAATACAGAATAACCAGCAGGTTCACCAGGGCGCAACAGAGGGAAAGCACGTCAGACAGATGTATTTAGAGCCCAACTTTTGAGGTATAATTTGATTCATCTCTCTCAGACTGCTGCACATGGACCTCAATTTGTGGCTTCTCTGGAGGGTGGAAGTC